CCCAGGGGAGCGCAGAGAGGGGCCCTTCCAGGCCTCCCCACCGTGGGCACAGCCCTGGCGCAGCAGCTCTGCCTCTGCTCGGAAATGTGATTCGCAGCGTGAAGATGCAACATGATGTCTTAGTTTCCTATAATCCCTTAAATCCACCACAGGCCTCAGCCCTTGGGGATTCAGATGCAAATGATGAGATTTCTGGTTGACGATTCTTGGCTGGGATACAGCCAGGCGCTGCAGGGCTGGGAGCACTGCAGGGCCCAGCTGCTCCGTGTGACGGGCGCCGCGGCGCTGTGCGACGCTGCCCGCTCAGCTCGCTGGCGCTGGAGGTCCTGCAGGTAGGCACAGCACCAGGAAGGGTGCTGGAAACCAGCTTGGCAAGGCTCCGTGTGTCCTCTGGCTCTGCCTTGTGTTGGGCTGGCTGCTCAGCTGTGGGGAGCAAGTCATACCTGGGCATTGTCTGGGCCATTGGGAAGCTTCCTGGTGGCACTGTTGGATTGCAGGTCCCTCTGGGGGTTATTTTCAGCTCCAGCCTTGCAGCAGGACTGCCAGTGACTTCTAGAGCATTTCTAGGGGACGGAAGGCAGACAGAAGAGGAGACTTTGCTGGGCAAGCCAGGCGTGGGGCAGCCAGGCAAAGTGCTCTTCCCTTAGCCTGTGTGAGCAGCATGGCCATGTTTTCCCGGGGCCTAAGAAAGGGCAGAAGATGTGTGCTCTCCATCTGATCATGCCGAGGAGGAAGTCTCTTCACTCCAGCACCACAGCCTCTCCAAGACGGAGCAGGATGGAGCCTGCGCGTGGCACCGCAGTGCCGGGTGACGTGCCTGAGGTGTCGCAGCCCTCGTGTGCCCCCGTCTCCGGGCTGCAGCCCTGTGCTCGCTCGCTGGGCTTGAGGATCCGGCCTCCCTTGGGATCAGGCTCTGTTTTAGTAACGGCTGCCAGCTGCAGCGCTCGGGCTGGCTCCACGGCAGTGCCACTCGTGTTGGCTGCTGCTCCTGCTCAGCCGTGCGCTTGGAAATGCCGAGTGTGCTGGGAGGACCAGCAGCCAAGAGGCTGCCTGGGGCACGGGAGGGGATGTGTCCTTGCAGCGCTGCTGTGGTGTGACGGCAGTTCTCCTCTCCCTTGGCAGGACGGAAGGCACGAGGGGCGACTCCTCAGCATGCTGGAGCTCTCGGAGAGCAGATCTGCAGGTGGGAAGCTGCTTCTGGGGCTGCCCGGCCAGGTCAGGGCTGCCGAAACTCCCCTTTCCTGGCTGTCTCCTTTTGAGCCCTTCAGTTTCTGCCGCAGGTCTCAGCTTGGCCTGGGCTGTGTGGGCAGCAAATTCCCCTTGAAAGGAGCCTGCTCTTCTTGAGCAGAGTGGGAGGCTGTGGCCTTAATCAGCCTTTTGCACCCCCCAGCAGGCCCAAACTGCCACAAATCCCTGGGGCAGGGGGCCTGGCCCGCAGA